GGATAACACAGAGCCTTTAACTGTGTATCAGACATTTGGCAATTGCTGTCATCTCCTGTATTTCATGAAGGCTGGGGCAACTGTTAACATAGGGAAGAAAACACCTTTAGGTTTGTACCTGATGCAAAAAAAGTATCAGAGAGGTTTGTCTTCCCCCAACTCGTCTGATGGAACATGCCAAGTAAACTGCGATCTCCTTCAGTAATGGATCCAAAGAAGGCAAAAAACCAAATGCTGATCCTTAGCAAAGCTGTCTAATTAGTCCCAGAGGCAAAGGGCTACTCTTTTGCTCTTGAAAACCCAGGTTCTATTCCTGCTGATGAAACACAGCAATTGCTGTTCCTAGTGTTGCACACAGGAGACTGTAATGAAGTTAACACTAGTCTAGGCTGGAATGAAAGGGGCCTTGTTTGCACAAGGAGTACAGGGCACTTGATATTGCTACTCTTCTGTAATGATTTCATGCTGGTGCCTAGGAAGCAACAGGACCCAGACAGAGGCCTCCTGAGACCTGGTTGTGTGCACTAATCTCACAGGGCCAGCTGCAAATGTAGCTGGAAAAAGAAAAATAAACATTGTAAAAGGATCCTGCTGGGAATTTTCTGTCCCAAGAGGAGAGGCAGTTGCAGAAGCTTTGCAATAAATAGGAAAAATAGAATAAGTATCCTGCCTCACAGATCATTGCTATTGAGAGAGACAGTTACCCTGCTAGCAAGCAGCTCCAGATCTCGTCTGGACTGTGGGGGAATGAGATAATCCTGGGAGAGCCAGGCCTCTGCAACAGTAAGCCACAGCTACCACAAGCTGGCCAGTCGCCACCGAGTTTGGGACGTTTTATGTTTGACTCCTGTTTCCATACCAGGCATGTTGGGGGATTTAAAATAATACTGATAAATGGTCTGCACAGAATTTAACTCTCTTTAATCAGAATGCATTAATGTTTTGTTTTTAAATAGGGAACAGCAGGTTCTTTGATGAACAGACTGAGTCATCACCACCTAATGTGAATACAGCCCTTGTATGAGCCTCTGCTATGTGCCTGAAGCCCAGCTAGTACCTTCCTAAAGACAGCTCTCCTCCCTGATGCACCAGGCATTACCCCACCCTGTCTGCAGCTCTGATATGGAGAGCAATGGGGGCCTTTTTCCAGCAGTGCAAGCATATGAATGCCACAAAACTATTTAACAAGGACCAACTCCCTCACACCTACATGCCTTCCCCAATATACTGCACCCACCTAAGCTGCTGAAAAATACTAATAAAAAAGTCATCGCTACTCTCATGAGTCACAGGAGAGGGAGGGAACAACTCTATAACAGATGATTCAACTGAGTGAGAGAGCTGAGGTGGAGAAAATTGTAGGCTGGAGATCAGGAGTGACTTCCTAGTGCTTCCACCAACCCACAGGAAGCGGTAGGAATTCTGCTGCTGGGGATGGGACAAGCCACGGTCCTATTTTCTCTGGCACAAGGAGCAAGAGGACTCCATAGGTTTTCCCTTCACTTCCAATTCAATTCCTCGACACTATTTGATTACGGGAGATCTGGAACAGCCCCCAGCTCATAAATGCTAGCAACCATTTTTATATTCAGAACAACAAGGAGAGAGACAAACCTCCCCCAGGATCAGGTTCTGGAGGAGCAGCCTTCCCAAGGTAAACATTACCAACTTAAAAAGCCACAGCCTTTGTCAGCACTAATTAGATATGGGTCACCTCCCTGCACTGCCTTACTGAGTAGGATGCCCTTGTCACAGGCTGGCCAATGCTGCCCTAAACCCCACAGATACGGTCAAAGCAAAAGACAAATGAAGTTAAGTCTGTTTGAACCGCAAGGGTTTTCTCCTTAGCAACAAGAGGAGCATAGCTGCATTCAAACCTACCTATGAACCGGAGCAGAAAAACAGGGAAGAGGCAGTGGTTGACCAACAGAAAGTCTGACTGCGTAGCAGAAGCCTCCAAACACCATCTAATGACAGTCAACTCCCTGCGCTCTTACAGCCTGTTCTGACTTACACTGCTCTTGTACCTGAGTGCTGTCCAGCAGTGCACCAAGCAGCATGACTAGCATTTGTCACCTGGTTTGTTCTCTCATTTAGTCCTCAGCAGGAGACCCATGTGCAGCAGACTGCCTTGTTTTGAAAGGATTTTCTGTAATAAATGCACTCTTGCATGTACATACACATGTTGAAAAAAAGCCAAGGCAAATGCTTATTTTGCACTTGGACCAGAAGGTGCTGAGCTTTGTAAGTGTCCTTAGGAAGTTCATCCCAACCTTGGTACAGCTTCTGAGAAACAGCCATTCCCTGATCTCTTGACTCCTATTAAATCACAGGGAATGTATGCCTCCCTTCTTCTCCGAGCTCACTGAACACATGGTTTACAGTCACAACCTGAAGTTCATCAGACCTCTGTCTCAGTATGGATTCTGCCTCTCGCACAGACTTGAAACTGTTGGTTCCAAAGTGTTCAATGCCCTCTTACTAACAAACCACAGACTATCCTCACTCTGCTTTGACGGCCACCCATCCTCCTCCTGGAAGTGTTGTACTCTATTGGCTCCCAGGACTCCCACCTTTCCGGTTTTCCTCTTCTTCTTGCCCTTCTGTTAGCATTTTCCTTGTTGACTTCTCCTCAACCCCCTACTCCAATTTTCTGTAGGAGTGCCCTACAGCTCTGGTTTTGGTCCCCTTCTCCTTTTGCACCTTAACACTGGCTAATGTCATCTGCAAGCACAATTTAAACTATAACTTCTAGTCTAACAGCTCACAGAGTCCTTCCATATCAACTACAAATTTTGTCCCGATTCTGATATCGCCTCATGAATGTCAAGCCATTAACTGTCTCTCAAAATATCTATGAAATAACCCTTAATCCACTCCCCCATCAACATCCCTATTACCTTTTTCATGTACACAGATACCCTGACTATTCTCTCTCTCATCTGATTCAGAACCTGGGCATCAGCTGGGACTCGCACCCTTCTGTAGGTTCTCACATCCAGGCTGCATCCAAGTCTTGCAAGGTCTTTCTAAGTCACACATCTAAATTTTGACAGACCCACATGGCTAAAGCTTTTGCTGGGTTCTCATCACCTCACATCTGAACTACTGCAACATCCTGTCCTCTAGCCTTGACAAAAGGCTATCTCGTCTTGCTTACAGTCTCCCAGATGATCTTCCTAGCCCACTGCTCTGACCATGTTGCCCCTTTTCTTGAATCTCTCTCCAGGCTCCCCCTTTTCTCGCATCAAAACACAAGCTGCTTGTCTTCATTTTCATGGCCTTTGCAACCTAGTCTTCTGTTCATGTCCATCACCTCTCATTCTGCTTCCAAAGGTCAATTCCCACCTCCATAATGCCAATCTGCATTGTCTGAAAGCCTAACAAGTATGTTTGTGTTTTCTCATGCTGTCTCTAGTGTCTGGGAACAACACCCATTTGCAACTGTAAAGTTACTACATTAACCTTCTTTAAATCTTTTCCTTTGCCATAATGCCTAAAAAATGTCACTGTAACTAGGCTGCTGATGTGCTATGATCCTGCCTACCCTACCGACCTAGATCATCTCATTGTTCCCTGGGCTCTTCCATCTGTACATATCCATCTCTTGTCAGGCTCTAAATGTTGTTCTGTTTACAAGGTGGACAGCACAATAGGGCCCTAGCAACCTCTAAGTGTGAGCGTATGGCAAGACAAATACTTTCTATTCTATAACAGTAGCAGGAATCTGCTGCGAGTTTCAGTCAGGGCAACAGCCTGCTCTGCCCAAACACCTTGTTTTCCCATCCTGGATCTCTGCAGTTGCACACCATGGCCTGACACCACAGCAGCAGTGGCTCTCAATGCCTACCCCTCACCATAAGCTCTAACCCATTAACTGAGACACAAGTCCCATTCAGCTGACATTGCCATTTGTTTGGCATCTGGGAACACTAGCTATTCACCATACCCAACACAAATCAGGCATTTGATAAGAGGCCACGGTTTCCAGTACATGAAACTGAGCCCAGCCTACCACCAAGGTACAAACCCTCAGATACAAAATCTTTGTTTCCCTGGACATGACAATTCCTAACCTAACTTCTTGATAGCAGTGTATGAATTCTGCTTGCTGCACAGCATCCCAGACAAGGTCATATTCCAGTGACTGTGCAGCACAGTCAAGCTTCCCTTCCTCCAGGTCCAGAACAAGCTCATTTGAAGAGGAGTGCTGTGAAATCACACGTTAGATTGGCAATGTGAGCACATGTGCAAGGTGCCCTCCTGAGCACCCATGTACATCACAGAATATGGGCACCATCCTTCCATGCCACCAGGCACAAGAATGCAAACATTTCAGGGCACAGCCCTCGAGTATTCATAAAGCTCTTTGCATGAACTGTTTCAAGGGAGATGAGATATTTTCACCTGTTCGCAGATTGGGGTGAATTTGCTACCAGACTTTAGAAGCCCATGTGTCTATTCATATACAGCACTTCTCCTGAGAATGGAGAAGACACAAGACTTGAATATTGATAGCCCCCAACACTGGAGTTTTGCTGAGATGTATCCACCCATGCACTCAGAGAAATGCTGGCATTGAGAAATGCAACTCCCAGCAGATACACTTCCTCAGCGACAGCACACAGCCAGGTGATGGACCATCCAGAAGAGATCACAGCATTATACCCTCTTCCTGATCCCACACATAGCAGCAAG